TGGACAAGGCAGCCTTAAGAAAGGCCAGCATACCATTTATTACAGTTGTCATGACCGATTACACTCATTTGGAACTGGATAAATTGTGGGAAAAAGAGTGACCCAGCTAGTTATAGATTTCAAGCCTATCAGCCCCAGACTCTGTGTCTTACGAATCAAAGGAAAGTTTTACAATATCAGCATCATCTGTGTACACGCGCCTACAGAAGTCTCTGATGATGAAATGAAAGACGAATTCTATGAGGAACTGGAGAAATGCTTTGATGACTGCCCTGCCCATGATATGAAAATAGTGATTGGAGACTATAATGCTCAAATTGGAAAAGAGAAAGCCTTTAGGCCTACAACAGGAAAAAATAGCCTTCATGAGAACTCCAACAACAATGAGAAAAGGATGGTGAACTTCACAGCCTCTAAGGGTTTGGTTGTGGGAAGTTTCCCTAACAAGTTAGTGCATCTAGAAACATGGAGGATATTCGGACGAAACGGATCCATAACAAGCTCTCAGATTGATCATGTACTCGTCAGCGCCAGATATAAATCCTCATTGATTGATGTTCGCACAAAACGAGGGGCTAACATTGACTCGGTCCACTACCTTATAATTGCGAAATTAAGGTGTTGGATATCAACAGTGAACTACCAGCCTCGACGTTCTCTGACAAAGTACAATATTCAAAAGTTAAAGGACAGTGACACAAGCCATAGATTCTCACTGCAATTGGACATCAGATTAAGAAGCTATGTTCCAGAATCAAACCTCGAGTCACAATGGAACTCATGCTGCACTGCACTTATGGAAGTAGCGAATGAGGTTGTAGGGGATAAGACCAAGCAGAGATATAACCCGTGGTTTGATGACGAATGTGATGCTGTGACCAAGAGAAAAAACATTGCATACAATAAAATGATGAAAAGAAAGCACACACGGAGCTCTGTCCATAGGAGGAAGAAAAAACGATGGGAGAATAAGAGTCTATAGGAGATAGAAGAGGCCTTCATATCCAAAAATACTAGAGAATTCCTCCAGGTCGTTAGTAAGGGAAGAAAGCCCTTTGCCTGCACCACAGGATGCAGTGCAAACGATGGTTCTTTAGTAACTGATAAACAAGGCATTTCAGACCGATGGGCTAATACTTTTCAACCCTTCTTAACAGGAATGACACAAACGCCTCAGAGGCAAATGATCCAATTGCAGGTGGTGAAGACGTAGAACCTCCAGAGGAGGAAAAAATCAATGAAGCCATAGTAGGACTAAAAAGCAATAGAGTGCTAGGCATTGATAACATCCCTGCAGAGTTCTATAAACATGGTAGTCAAGAGCTCATAAAACTCCTCCAGGAAATGTTTCATGCCGTTTGGGTTGATGAAGAGCTTCCAAGTGATTGGAAAAAATCCATTATATGCCCAGTGTACAAAAAAGGGGAAGTCTATCAATGTAATAATTACAGGGTATATGCCTTCTACCCACCGCCTACAAAATTTTTTCAAGGATTCTTTATAGAAGAATAATAACTTATGCCGAGGCTGAAATCGGAAAATACCAGGCCGGATTCATTAAGGGTAAATTAACTACCGATCAAATATTCACGTTGCGAATCCTTCTGGAGAAAACCAAAGAATACCAACTTGGTACACATCACATCTTCATTGATTTCAAGCAAGCATATGATTCCATAAACCGTGAGGAATCATACAAAGCAATGATAGAAACGAATGTACCTACAAAACTTGTAAGGCTTGTTAGAATGACAATGGAGGGTAATGAGTGTTTCGTACGAGTACAAGATAATTTATCAAAGGAGTTTAGAACATCGACAGGTGTAAGGCAGGGAGACGTTCTACCATGACTGGTATTCAACTTTACTCTTGAAAAAGTCATAAGGGATTCTGGTATCCAGACTACAGGAACCCTCCTAAATGGAATGTCACAAATACTTGGATATGCGAACGATATTGATATAATGGGAAGATCGTTTGCGACAGTACAAGAAGCTTTTACAAGCCTGGAAAAGTTGGCAGCCAAAATCGGACTTATTATTAACGCCTCCAAAACAAAATATATGTCTACCCTATCCTCACGTATAACAAGGGAAAACCAAGCATGGCTGGAACAGTGTGGAATCAAGAATGTTGATGAATTCGTATATCTGGGTCACTGATAAATTCACGAAATAACATTGATGTGAGATAGACAGGAGGATCGTCGTGGCTAATTGTTGCTATTTCTCCCTCCAGAGGCATCGTCGCAGTATAATGTTGTCGAGACAGGCAAAAATAAGAATATACAAAACACTTGTTAGACCAGTACTCACATATGGCTGTGAGAGTTGGATCTTAACTAAAACACTTGAGAAATCCCTGCTCAGATTTGAAAGGAGGATTATACAATGCATATTCAGAGAGGTCCAGGAAACACCACAAAATTGGAGGAGTAGAACGAATATTGAAATCAAGACATTATTTAATGTGCATTATTTAATGCATGGCAAGACTGTGTGGCTGCTGATGCATGAAGACTACTTGGTGTCTGAAATTGGAAAGCTGCAGCAACTAACCGATAGTACTGGAGATCCATGCTGGAGGCCATCAAATGATGGGGATGTAGCGCCATTTAATAATAAGTGGTCAAACGTACAAACGTAGATCACCAGTTGTGCTCATGGTGTCATCTTTAAATTATTATGAAAACAGTAATTTCATCTCATGAAGGACTTACAACTACCTTTAGATTCTGTGCTAAGGGACGTTTATTCAACTTCAACTGATCTGAAACTTGTGCCAATGTTGAGCGAGCCATACAGATGCACTGTTATGTTCAATGGCACAGATAGGAAGAATCGTTTTCTACCTGGTTCTGTGTAGATTCATCGATAGCAAGAGGTACACATGCTCTGGTAGTGATATCTTTCAGGTATACCACAGCATGCGGAGGCTGACTAATACTACATATTTTGTCATGATTTAACATTGCTTGATGTCAATAAGTTATTAATAGGGTTTATAAAAAAAATGACCATTTTTCAACCAAATATTTGTATTATTATTTCTTTGATATAAAATACAATTAACACTTTTAGTATAGTCCATTGTTATCTACCCTCATTAGCCATCTGCTAGCCAATTACTCAATCCCACGCTTATACCATTCTTTTGGATGGTTGTCAAAGAACTTTTGGACCGCAATTTCAACTTCCCTAAAATTATCAAATTTTTTCCCTTGAAGAAAATGGGCCATGGATCTAAATAAATAGTAATCCAATGGTGCGAGGTGTGGACACCATATATATATGGTCGATGAGCAGGAGTTTTCAATAAATTTTCTCAAATTTCTAGCTTCTTAGCTGATTGCTGAGGAGTAAGTTCGTGAGAAATCATTCTACTACTCTTTTTCGCCTTCCCCATGGAGAGTAGATGATGACTAACAGTATCTTTTGACACACCACACTCCCTGGCTAGTTTGGGAGTATTTGTAGACAGATTTGACACAACAGCTTCCTGCATAATGTCATCAATATCCATTAAAAGTCGCCTGGAGGCTCCAGGCTGGAGCCCTTCTTCCATCCCAACGCTGTTCCCACTGCTAAATTTTTCAAACTAATGCTGCGCAATGCGCTGGTCAAGGACACATTCCCCTTTATATTTAATAATTTCACGAGTTGCATCAGCGGCTGTAAAATTTTCTTGCCATTAATGCCTTAAAATTACAAGAATTTCATAGGACACTGTCATGTTTCTTCTTTGAAACAAATAACTAAATTGAGACTTTTTTTGAATAAGTCAAATGGGATTAAACAAGCTTAGAAAAAGCTCTAAAGGGATTATTAAGTATAGGTAAGTATTAAATAGCATTAAAATATTTACAGTCCTTTGAAATCTTGAACTTAATAAAATGGTCATTATATATATTGTAACATTCCCTCTTGTCAACATAAATCAAACGAGTTTACTTTTTGAATATATTATTTATTTTACACATATAACATAAATCTTCAGGTTGGGTTCTGACAACTGAACACTCATTCAACATTTATATAACTATAATTTACTTAATTACTAAATACATATAAAGAAACGAGATACATCCATTAAGAAATTACACATATTGTTTTCAAAAACCTTGATTGTCCCAGTCTGAAAAACCTTGATTTGTGGCTGTTTCTATTTTCTCAAGTTGCTGGCTAGTACCTTCTCTCTTGACAGCTTGTCACATCTTCTCTCTTGGCCGCTAGCACCTTCCCTCTTGGCGGCCCGTCGCAGTCTCTGTCACATGTGCTTGCTTCCCCTACTTCTTCCCTGTAGTTCATGCTGTTACCGCTTTTGCGCCACTATTCATATGCCATGTAATGTTGACATTACAATATATTATATATATATATATATATATATATATATATATATACATATATATTCTATTAGATTGTTATTAGTTTTTACCATGGTGTTAGATTCTTTTCTCAAAATTTTTTTTGGGTTTAGTATGTTAAGGTAATTCCAAATCATCTTACAGTTATCGCATTCAACAAGGGAGTAGCCAGCTCAAAAAGAAATTGTTCTAAAAGAAGAGTGTTTTAAAATTTAATTTATTTTAAATATAGGGTGTCCTTTTTTTCATAATTAGTTTCTTTCAAAATGTGAAAATATTAAAAATCGATCTGTCACTGTCAACAATTTTTCACATTTTTTTTTTGTTTATGATTGTTGCTATTTTATTATATCTATGTTGGAAGGGAGTACAGAGCTGCTTCACTACCTTGCCTTCCTCCATTCCATCTTTACTCATGTTGTTTAATGAAGCATTGAAGTGTAAAGATGGGATTAAGTTTTCTTGGTTATATAGTCATCATGTCAACATTAGTAATTTACATATCAAAACACATTATTTAAACAATTATGTTTTAGTAGATATTTGAAAACTTTCATACAATATGTTTAACATAAATTATAAATTCTAATAATTATATTTGGAAATTCAGGTCTGGCAAGCAGCTGCAGGACAGATGTTTTTCTCCCTCAGTGTCTCTATGGGAGGATTGATAATGTACAGTTCTTATAATGATTTCAGAAACAATGTCTATAGGTAAACCTACTATTTTTAATAAATACAATCATGTCATCAGAGTTACTATTAGAAGAGAAACTGGATATTTATATTATGTATTTGAAATATGTAATTTAATGTAATAATTATATTAAATTAGAATTTTAAACAAAAAAATACCTATGAATTATGCAAACAAAGCTCAACTCATTATATAATAGCTCACTGTGATCTTAATATTTTTTTAATAACTTATTGCATTTTTTAAAGAAAAATTTGATATCTGAAGTTTATGTGGTAATTTGATGGAAATATTGGTTTTGAATTTAAATTTACACATTAATGTAATAGTTTACATTTAAATTGTTTGTTTATTTTCTTGAGATAAATTTTTTTTTTTTTTATTTTATTAAAATATTTTTTATCCTTAAAGTAAATCTGAACTGTGTTGTATCTTAGTCAAGACCAGCAATTTTTTATCATATTCTAGTTTCATTCTGTATAACTTTTATTGCTGATATATTCATTTTGAATTATTATTTTCATTAATAATTAATAATTGAAAAAGGAAAAAAATTCAAACCTTCTCCTGCCAAATTTAGGGCTTAACATTTTGATTCAAATAAACAGGCATTTCAATTGAACTCCACAGTCATTAGTTCCTCCAGAAAAAACCTCAGAAGTCAACATTACCTTCCACTATTTCGTTTAAAAAATGGTGGCTGATTAGAGATTTCATATACTGATTCCATGGATTTCTTTCAAGACTACAAACTCATTTTTTTTTTTCTTAGAATATCAGCCATTTTAATTCATTACCAAGGTCACAGGTCATGCCAGGGTGGATGATTACATTACCATACAAGAAGTTTCATATCTCCATACAAGACTTTCAAGCATTCAAATATTAGTGTTGAAGCTGTTTTTCTGTATCACTAAAAAAAAAATATTTTTGGGGATTAGATTCTTTCTAAAAAACAAAAACAAAAAAATTCAATTCTTTTATAGGAATATTTTTTTCTTACACAATGAGCGTCTATCAGTGATTTCCTATCACCTGATTGATCTTTTGTAAGGTGTATAGAACTTTCTCATCAAATTCTTTGTCCTCACATTTCAAATCGGAGTATTTTTATATCCAGATTTTAATTTTTGACGAGAGACTAGATTATACTTTCAGCATTATCAATTTTTTTTTTTTATAAGGATGAAATTTCTACAAATCGATATAAGCCAGAAGGGATACTGAAGGGTTTAACGGTGAGTGAGGGTTCAAGCCAAAATAATAACTATAAATGTCTTACTAACAAAGCAGCTAATTCTAGGGAAGCATCTTTTTATTATCCAATACTTCAGGCAAGTTCTATCCCAATAATAAATCTCACTTGTGCTTACTTCTTCATTTTGTAATGAATACGATTTTTGCTTCACACAGAATTATTTGCCTTCCTCACATTTTTCTATTTTGAATAATGAATTTAATTTGAACAATATAGTAAAATGAGATATTAACACATTTACTTATACATTTGTATTTATAAATTGTCTAATTTAGTGGAACAAAAATCAAAATCTTGTAATTTAAGCCAAAAACAGCAAAATATGAAATTTGGAACAATATAAAATTTAAATGTGTTATTCTATAAGTCCTGAAACATATAGATATTTGGATTAAGAGTTTTTACACGCAAGCAAATAAAAAGTGCAATAACATGGAAATCCAGTCTCTAGTCATGACTCTTCCACCATAAGACCTCTTTCAGCCCAATAAAGTTTTGCCAATTTTGACCAGTCATTTTCGTCAGAAGAGAAATTCTGTCTTATTTCTTCTAGGCAACAACATTCATGCAAAAGACTTGATGTCATGACTGAGAATGTACTGTATAATGAACAGTGAAGGTCATTTCTCACTCCGTTTCTGTGGAGATAAGCATTCAAATAGCCATGGCCAGTAATAAATCAGAAAGCGGCAACTGATTCATGCCGGAGAAGATCAAATGGAATACGATGATTTGGATCAAGGAGGGTAGCCCACTGTTTCCTTCTGCACACTCTTTGTAAAATTGTTGCATCTTATCTTTTAGGGCCCTTTGAATACATTTTTCAGAAGCAAGAAATTTAGTAGCTGAGGCTGAGAGAGGCATAACCATCTGGTAACCTTTTTTGGCTAGGGCTTCAGCTTTTTCATTATCTACGATTCCAACGTGTGAAGGGATCCATTGCAGCACACAATTGACTGCCTGATGAGAAATCATTCCAAAAGTCGTCCATCCAGAACGTTGTGGGAATTAGTCTGGTCATTAGTGCTTAATCTGATAATGGCAGCTTGCATGCCATCAAGAATGACTACTCTAGTGCAATTGATTGACATTATAAATTCAAGAGCCATTACCATAACACAAATTTCTTCACCAAAATTATTGGCCAGGCAAACAACATCAAGTTCTGAATACACACCCACTCCTCAATTTCGTCTCACTTCAGTGACTGACCCATCGCTGTACATCCACCATTCTTCTTCCGGAAATCTAGTGTGTGGAGTCTCCAATGCGATAGCCTTGAGTTCAGTGAGAGATGTGTTTTGTTTGGAGACAGGTTATATCAATGTTGTATAATAAAAGGTTTAACTTGTGACATATTAATTTTGTTTTCTTCTCAATCTTATGAAGTTTAGGTTTTTAATTCATTTCATACCGGGCTAGTACCCTGTTAGCTGTTAGAAGATAGATTTATTCATCTTCCAAATTCATAGCCAATGTTAATGTCTCCTCATTGGCCACTGAATGTCAACAGGAACATGTTTTTTTTTTTTCAAAACAAGAGTGAAAAGTAAAGGAAACATTGCTTAGTTGACTTTTTATTCAAAATCTCTTCCACTTGAAATTAATAAGTCTTCTTGATAACTTCCATCCTAATTAATCTTGTATCTAATAATGAGTTTAAATTACTAGAGTTTCATATACAAAACTTGTTCTTTGTTAAAAAACTAGAAATAAGATCATGTAATAAGATGAGGCTTGGATTTATATAAAATTGGATTTATATAAAATTTAAGCCAGTGTTTCTAATCTTAGTTTTATCTCCATAATTAAGGGCCACAAACTGTGAATCTCTTAAAGGTTAAAATTTTTACTCACTCCATTTTAGCATGTATAAAATAAAATTTTAATTAATTGCAAAACATAAATTTTCAGAGATGCCCTCGTAGTGAGCGTAATGGATACTATCACGAGTATCATTTCTGGAATAGTAACATTCTCTATACTTGGTGCAATGGCTCATGATCTTGAAGTTCCTATCAGCCAAGTTGTCAAAGAGGGGCCAGGTCTTGCTTTCATTGCATATCCAGAAGCATTGCTTCGCCTCCCAGCACCTCAGCTCTGGTCCGTCCTATTTTTCCTCATGCTCTTTATACTAGGTCTGGACAGTGAGGTAAGGACAGCAACAGAGGTAATAAAAAAAATCTATATTCAATTGTTAATTTATTAAACACATCAATTTTCTGTTTCAGTTTGCTCTTCTGGAAAATGTTCTAACTAGTCTTTCTGATGAATTTCCAATCCTCCGCCGAACTAAACTTGGTTTCTGCATCGGTACAGCGACTTTTTGCTATCTTGTTGGTCTCACTTGTGTAACATATGTACGTTAACTACACAATAGATTTAGATAAATGTTATTGTTTGGAGAAAAATCTAAACAAACAAATATTAATTATTATGATTAATTCCTTAGAATTTAATTAAATTTAAATAATAAAATAAAGTACTTTTTAAGTACTATTGTTAAAAATGGTTTTAGAAGCTGAAACATCAGAATAATAAAACTAAGTTATATTACTTTAAAAATAAGGAATGTCTGTAACCTTTGACCAAAAATTTTTTTAAGTAATAAAAAATAATATGGCAATAAAAATAAATAATATGCCTTGGGAATTAAATTACTTACTTTTCAGTTTTTGCACCAGTCAATATTTCAACTACTACCTAAGTCTAAGAAATGAAACATAAATCAATTCAATAGTAATGTTAAGACAAGTAAATAGACCTAATAAAAAGAAAAGATTGGTGGAAATGATACAAAAATAAATATAGATAAAAATGTATAATAGGCAAGCAGGTTTAGAGGGGCAGGGCATGTAGCTTGGAGCAATCCATCAGGAAGTCTTTACACAGCAATGAATGCTTCAATACTAGGCAGATTTACTCAATTTCCCCAAAGGTCGATGATGCATCCTCCATTCCAAGTAATTTTAATGCTCTCCTCTACTTAAGAAAATTGGAATCGAAAGAAGAATTAAAAAATTGTAGATTGATAACCAATTATAATGTCATGTCTGTTATATTTGCAAGCTAACAGAATATTTATTTAAATTTAAAAAAAATGTTTATGATAAGTTAAGGAAATTCTCCAATTAATTTTCGTTTATTTAACTCCAAATTACTCCAATTAATTATAGTTCATTGACTTATGTAATTTGTTAAGAAAAATTGTATTGAGAAAATTGTTTCATTGGTATGAAAAGAAAGCTGCTAAAAAAAAAAAACAGCCTATGAGCATCTAAACTTTAAATCCAGATTGTTTATTAATGATAACATTTACAACAAAGTTTAGTACTAGAAAATTTCCAAAAATTATAAAAATAAGTAAACAAATAAAAAATAAATTCCACACAATATAATATTTTGTAAGATTATTTAATATATAAACATCCAACAATAAAGAAAATGAAAATATTAAGCAATTATAGATGAAAATAGTCTTGTCTTTTAGACTTTACATAGTTTTTCCTGGGCCAGGGGAGAGGGCTTAATGTGAGAGTTATAAGTCCACCCCTCTCCCCAGCACTGGGATTAGATCTCGTAATCTTTGATTTATCAGGTTGCTGGGCAATGTGTGTTTTACCAATCCTCCCCCCCAACCCTCCATATGTCAGAAATGGTGATGAAGGTGGTAATAAAAAAAAATGTAATCTTTGTATTAGAAGTAGTTGTCTGTTGTTACTAACTGAGCAAACCGTCTTATGTTAGAACTTAGAGCCCTTTTTCTCACACCATGCTTTATGGTCTCTGGTAGGTCACAATTGGAAAGGCATATGAGGACGAAATGCTGTTTCATGGCCTATCGGTAGCTGTGAGCACAGTGGTCAGGGATGATCGTTTTCCCTGCTGGATGTGACCAAATATTACAAAAGAATATCTATACTCTTTGTCAGATTCATTCTTACATTGTTTCTTTCTGGATAACCTTTTTTCAATTCCTTGAATCATCATTGATCCTCAACCAGATATTTAGTCTTTGTTCTATCAAGCCATTCTCTTCATTTTGTTTTTCCTGATATTGGTAAATCTGTAATTGGTGGTCTTATCAAAAGCATGAGAGAGTGATGACAGAATTCTGACTAATTTATAATTCAGAACATAATAAAACATTTTTTATATCAATTATTTAAAAGTAATAATGTATATTATATTATTACTACTGATCTGTTTATTGTTTTAGGGTGGAAATTATGTATTAACATTGATGGATGTATATGGTGGGGGTATGGCAGTCCTCTTCATAGCTATTGCTGAATCAATAGCTCTTGTTTGGATTTACGGTACGTTACCTTTATACCCAATCATAATTTTATTTTTTAAATTTTAATTTCAGAATTTCAATTAGTAGTAGTTTTGATTCTTTAAATCACTTTAGTAAATTCTAACCATTCATAATCCTAAATTGGTAGTATAAAAAACATTTAGAATTAAGTAGTAAAACAGTAAAACAAGATAAATAATTTTCTGATTTAAAATTGATAATAAAAATTAAGGGCACAAAATATCGATTTTTGCAATTATTGATATTAAGACATTTGGTGAGGTAATGAGGTTTTTATTTATTTTTATTAATTATTTTTAAGATTATTTTTTTTTAATTTATTAGTGCCATTAGTTGTTTTTGTTAAATGATTTACAGGGGTGTGAAGAAGTTTTTGAACAAACCAAATATTTATAAAAATTATAAATGTTTCAACTCAAGTGTTTTTATCTCTTTAATTGTAAACTGATTTATCATTAAGTATTGCTATCATTGTATTATTATCCACTTCAGTCTTTATTCTTTATAGTGAACATCAAGAGCCATTGTATAAACACTATGAAGCTGAATGTATCTTTGAAAATTGTTCTAATATTGGAAATCTCCACCTTTTTTTGGAAAAATTTTTATTTATTTTAAATGATATTTACAACTGTATACAAAAAAATACATCTAGTAAATTTGCACATTGGTATTGCACATGGAACACATGTTGAGAAACTACCCATTGGTAGCACTCTAATAATATGTCTATATTAGAAGATCACGTGGCCATCTTCTTTTCAGACGCCTCGGAGGGTTATCAGGAATCGAATAGGAAGCAAGGTTAGAGACAAGAGGGTTGGGATGGTTATGAAGTTTATTATGGAAGGACAGATATCTGGATTGGGCCAAATCTGATACATAAGGAACATTAAGGTCATTATGGATAATTTTATTTGTAACAAAGTAAGGAGCATTGAGGATTTTACGAAGGATTTTGGATTGCAAGGACTGTATGTGAGAGGAATTTGAAGGCTTCGGAAAAATTTAATTTAACATTCCATATCTCATAATTTCACTATGTTTTCTATTTAATGTTATTTCTATTTTAGAAAATAGGAAAATACCATATTTTCAACCAACAAAAATTATAATTTTGCATCAACGAGAGCTTTCAATTAGGCAAAATCGAAAAGAAGTTGAAGATTCTACTTTTTAAATTCATTGTTATAAAAAAAATTAAAAAACCAAGCAAACTGGAGACTTCAAACGTTACTAATTTTAGTTCAGTAATTGTGATAAATTTAATCAAGACTTCAATAATTATGAAAAATGAATTTCTCAATGAATTTAAAATAAAAGGATATAGTAAAATAAATATTTATTTATTTTATAATCTACTTTGGAAGATAAGATTTGGTAAAATAAATTATTATAAAATTTCAAAAAACATGTTTCTTTGTTGGGTAAATGTTACATTTCTATGTTATAGGTTTGAAAAACCTTTGTAGGGATATGAAATTCATGCTTGGATTCAGACCTAGTTTCTACTGGAGAATAACATGGGTTTTTACGACTCCAGTAATTTTAAGTGTAAGTTAATGAGTAAACATTTATTATCCAATTAGAACATTAATTTTAAGTTTAAAATATAATAATATAAGAACTAAAAAAATTTGCAATAGATAATGTCAACCATTGATAATTTTTTAAAGACAATCTCAATCAGTTTTGAAAAAAATTAATAAGTATACTAATTTTTTAAAATTATATTTATTTATTTTTTGTGCGAATAAAATGGAAGGTTCAAACACCTGTTTTAGTTAAAGTGATAGTTGAAAAAATGAAGAAAAAAATGAGGATGTTCTGGCAGTGTACCAGTTTTTCTGACTTTAGTCAGCTGAAAACTTGTAAATAAACAGGTCTTTGCACCCAGATGGATCTAAAGGCCTTGAGCCAATGTTTTATAAATATATTTTGAACTCCCAGGAACAATTATTTCTCTTGAAAATTTGGTTAAATTATTTATTACTTTGTCAATTTTTATTTCCTTATATTAATCTATCTGGTCTAACAATGTGTAATTCTTCTCGCATAAAACTCGTTTATTTCATTGTTTCAGGTTATATTTATCTATTCATTGATAGAATATAAACCACTGCGTTATGAGAATTATGACTATCCTGACTGGGCAGATGGGATTGGATGGGTTCTTGCAGGACTCTCAGTATTACAAATACCATTCTGGGCAATTGTTGTTGTATCCAGAAAGAAAAGTGATACCTTTTTGGGGGTAAGACAGTAATTAATTAATGGGCATTTTATGAGTTCTTGTATACATATTTGTTCCTGTTTGTAATTCATGAATGATTTAGAAAATAAAAGAAGCAATTAAGCCAACAAAGGAATGGGGGCCAACTGATCCAAGAAATAAAGAGAGGTGGGCTGAAGTAGTAGATGCAACTAACAGCTCTAAGCTCAAGTATCACAATGGTAATTTTAAAATATTATTTAGCATAAATGAATAAATATAAATTAAATATTTAGATAATAGGAGCTGAAATAATTTTCTGTTTCTGAAATTCTGGACTGTTTTAACAAACTATAAGCTTAATGTGATGAAACCATTAAAGCTAGTTTTATATAAAAAACAGTTTTGTTTTTTTCTAGAAATACATCATTGTTGGACAGCTTTAATGGTATTTAAAAAAAATAATTTTAAAAATATACATTTACAGGAGTTGTTTATTATTATTTTTATTAATATTAACTATTAAATTTGAACACTCAATTCAAATACTAGAGTGAACCTTAAAAATCAAAATAGAAATATCACAGTTCGATTTTCCTTAATTACTGATTTCTACAAATTTATTATTATTATAATGTAATTTAATTAGAATTGTTGTTAACAAAAAAAAAGAAATGTTACACTGATGAATAAATTCACTTTGTTCATGAATCAATGCTACTTACTATTAATCAAACTTATAGTAAATCAGCCATTGAGTGATTGGCTATTTATATTTGCTAATTATTGTCATATGTTTTTACTTTACAATGAAAAAATTTTATTGATTGATGTTTCCATAAGTATGTGAATTACAGATTCAGTTCATCAAATATTATTAGGTAGTATAATGGTTCCATTTGGTTACAGGGATGATAATGGTCTCACCAGAAGCTGAAGCTTGTCTAAGAAAGCCTGTATAAGATGAATGAGTTAAATCTGTTCATAATTACTACCTATTTTATAGGGATCTGATGATTTTATTAGTGAAAATGACTAGAGTAGACTAAAAAATAGTCCACTTTATACTCTAAACATTGATGTGTTCAGACTGTCATTTAATTTAGTATAATGATTATACTCCTCACAATTACTCTCATGGATACATTAATGTAAGTCTTAAAACTCTAATAGTAAAACCTTGATTGGATGGGTTCGAGAAACCATACATCAAATTATTCAGACTGGCAACATCGACAACCAAAATAAAGTTCAAATGATAATTTATATTAGCATTGTAACTTACTATGTTCTTAAAATTATTTTACTAAAATTAAAATTATCACAACAATAAAATTATTTTATATTTATTTTATCTTATATCTGATTTTTAGTTTGAAATTTATTCATTAATCTGGTATTTAATTAGTTTATTAATTATGATTATGCACCTGAATGTTAGTATTTATTACCAAATTAATTGTATCCTTGAAAAAATTATTTAATGCTTCCATTTTATGTAACTAGTAAACATACTAATACTTCTATGTTTAACATTTTTAAGTAATTCAGAAATGAGTAAAACTCTTTTTTTGGTCAGACACAAAACTTTGTCTCAGGCTATTTATAATAATTATTTTTCTCTAATAATCTGCCTGAGGAGTGATCATGTTATAATTTACATTTTATAATTAATAACAATAAGTGTACCAATTTTATTTATTTTAATTTCAAGCATTGTTAATAATGGGGCATTATGAATGATATAAGCTTTAAGACTTAAAAACTAAAATCACTTCATTGTATTTTTGTTGCAATGAAAACAGATCATTTATTTTTTTACTTTATCTTTGATCAAAATATATGTTGCTGTACAGTCTTCAGAAAAAAAAGGTAATCTGTTAGTTAAGGTTTTACTATAAAAAAGTTTAATGTCTTTTGGAATAATTTATCTAATAATGCAGAGATTTACATTAATTTTATATAGATTTATACATAATAAAAAGGAAATGCCTACATATAATAAAAATCATGAATATGTTTTTTAATGAGATATAGTGGTAAGAAACATAAAAGGCTCAGCTTCAATGTTTAGTTTATAACTTGATGTTCATAATAAACATTAAACTCCTTGAATAAATTATATTTTTATATTCTATTCAATCTTATTTAATATAAATTTTGTTTTATTTAAAAAAAAACTTTGATATTTATTTCCTATTGTTTATATATATTTTTTCTAGCTATATATGCCATTTAAATGTTAGTACTTATTTAAAAAAAAGAAAAGTCTGGTGTGGCATACTGAAGTGAGAGCCAAAATTATATTTTTTAATGTAGTACATACTATGTCCTTAATTTATATGGAATACTCTGAGTAAAATAAGATATAGCAGATATTTACTCAAACATCTGGATATAATATAGACTTGTCTTAGAGTTATTTGGATGTTAGGATTTGCTAGTATATCTACGTATACACTGAAATATTTAGTATTATATCTATAATTATTTATACCACATATTTGGCCATTTGATAAGTACAATTATGCACATATATAATATATGTGTGTATACTCCTCCCCCTGGATTTATAGTTTTACAGATCTCAAAAACAATTCATAATTATTGAATATGTTGGACCGATAGGATAACAAATTATGTGGATCTTCAAGAAATTATATTATCCATTTTGATTAGACATTTTACATTGCTCTAGAAGAAATATTATTAAATGCATTTTTTTTTTTGGTTATTGAGGGACACATGAATTTTGGTCGTCATATAAAAACCTATTGTATTTATACAAACTGTCCAGATAGTCTGTCATGTGCGATACAATCAAGTGCACGGGTGAGTGTTTAGTACCTAATACTCTACAGAAATCATTTCCTATCAACTCGACTATGGTGAAACATTGGATAATACGGAGACATTTTTTGGTCCCACAAAAATTTAAGTTAATGTTTATTAACTTATAAATTTGGTTTTATATGTATGTTTTTTATTACTTTCCACTTTCATATGTATTACAATTTCAAGGATACAAATATATTAATTGTAAGATAATTACTTAAAAAATAAATACATGCGAATAAATATGTATAGAGAAAATTTTATAACTGGATAAAATACACTTGTTTATTCCAAACTAAATTTTGTTTAACGAATTTTTAACAAAAATTGAAGAATTTACTCTCCTCTCCTCCCACAATGTGTTCATATTAACAATGAACCACTGCATTATGCTTTTGTAGTAAATATTTGTCTATCAATTTTCTAAAGTTTATTTTTTTTTTATTTATTTTTGTTTTGTTTGGCCATTTTGTAAATCCCTACCAATTTATTATATGTCAGACTTAAGTATTTACCAATACTTTTCTGTTGAGAAAGGTTTTTTTATAAAGAGCCAAATTGGTGATATCACAATCTGAAAGTGATATTTCGTATACTGTTGTAATTAATTTCATTATTCAAGCTTTAAATAATTTGTGTAATCAAATAAAGTGGTGTTGTAAAGTTAGTTACGAATATAACAAGTAATATTGGATTTAGTTAGTAACCTGAATGAGCTAATGTGCTTGGAAAGAATAAACAGAAGGACATTGAGTTCAATGGAGGAATGAATAATAAATCAAACTTTTAATATTTTTCTACATAATATCCAATTATAATATCTCACTAAACTGTTAATTCCGGTTCTTAATTATGTGCATAATTCTGATGAAGTAGTAATTGATTCAGAATGCCTTATTATTTAGATAAATCCCAAACCGAATTTTAAAAAAAAATATGTCAGTAATTTATGGTATATTTATATATTTTTATTTTTTACAAAATTATGAGCCATTCAATTAAAAAAAAAGTGATCTTATCTAGGATTAATAACACTTAGATATCAGTGGATTGAAGGAGGATTTATGGCTGAAGTCTCCTACATAAATTAAATTAATTTACATTAGTCCATATTTGTTTCCACAAATGATCTGAACCAATTACCATATGTTCTCCATGTGTGACTAATTCCGATGACGTAGTAACTGATTCAGATTATCTTATTATTTTAAGAGATCCCAAACCACATTTTTTTTTTATTTTATAATGCCACATTTTTATAATAATGTCTAATACAAATGAATACGTTTGTGTACATACATACAGTTAAATTTTATTTTTAGAATCCCCATATCAATGAGCTATCTTTATCCTCAAATACCTGGTATCAGTCTCAAAAATTAAATCTTGGATCTGCTGTTGCCCAAAGTGAATTATAACAACTACAAATTTGCATTATGTATTTTTTTTTCTTTGTGGTTTTGAGAGTTCTAATAATTTTACTTATCAAATGGCTACTTGTTAGTGAATATAAAGTCAATGTCAATTCTTTAAGACAGATGTAAAAGTTAGACACCCACATCTCAAGTTAATGGTATTAGAGTAGACCAGTGGGCGATATTCCTTTTTAACCGTCTATTACTTTCTACTTCATACACTTATATTATCAAAGAAATAACTTTTCTCTGAAGTTGAAATTAAATTTAAAGTGTATTGTTGTTGTTGTTGTTGTTGTTTATATTTTTATGAATATCGCTTTTATTACATTTATAGTTTTTATGTAGATATGTGTGATTAATATAAAAATGTGTGTAAAAAAAATAAAATAAAAAGAAGGTAAGTTCCCATTACTTATCTAGTTCTAGATGTAAAATGAATCACTATTCTTTTCCTTGTTTCTGATTTTACAGATTTTAAGTCTTTTATCTTTTAATAAACTACTTTTTTTTGTGTTGTAATTACAAAAATAATACAAAAAAATATATTTATAAATTTGTTAGTCTTGGTCAATTCATTTCCAAAGGGCTCATGAGGGCAATTAGGTTCATGCAGATATAATTGAATAGCCAATATATAAAACAAAATTAATGTCATAGGATGGGATAGGCTGATGTCAGCTGAGAAAGCAAGTTATTATTGTGTAAATAATGAAAAAAAAAGATGGATCGTGAGAGTTTAGGTTGTTAAGGATTTAGACTCTTTGACTTACAAGGATTTGGACCCTTGAGAATGTAATAAATTAATTCTTCTTTTTTTTTCTTTATTTTATACTTCATGTAGAATCCTCTAATCACCGTCTCCTTCATTCCCATCCAACTTTACATTCCTCTGCATACCATCCATGCTTGTTCTTTTAAAGGCTAGAGAGAGCCTTTTTAGGTATTGGTCATAAATTCAGTCTTGGTCTGGTTTTAGACTGTTAAAAGATCCTTTTAATATCCATTTTGCCATATTCTTATAGTCCTCCCTGCTCCTATCCTTAAACCATTTGACTTTCTTTTCTTTCAAAACATTTTCAAAAAGCTGTACAACTAAGGTTATTCTTGTCTTATTATTTATAAAATCATGACTATCTCTCGCTAAATTCATCCACAATCCTCTTTTTATTGCCTGAAATTTTACTGTTCTCAAAATACTCATTTATTCACTGCATTTAATTGTCATTTATTTAATTATTTAATAAGTGAGTACAGCATTTATGTATTGTTTATTTGGTACAAGAGAATGTTGACTGTTTGAAACAATAAATGAAAAATATATCTAGTGATAATTGCAGTGGCGAATAGCTTACTTCAACTTGCATTCAATAATTAATTTTGTATAGTAAATAATTAATTTCTAAAAAAAAAAAATAATTTCAAAAAACAAATAATTCTAATTATTTTCATTTCTGACATTACAAACTAATCCATTGCAATTATGAGAGAAAGAAACTTGGACAAATTATAGTGATTCTGAAAATAAGGGTTTGTACAAAAAAAAAATATATAACCAAACATCTATTAGATGATATAATGAAAAAGTTGTATAATTGATAAATGTGATAATTTTAAGTGATTGCATTTGAGAAATTAGTTGGCATTTATTAGACAAATTATTAACGGGGTCATTAAAGCATATTTATGTTAATGTGAAGAATTAGATGTTTTAGAAAAGTTTTTT